CCGCACACCCACACAGAGGAAGTGCCGGGACCTGCAGGCGGGGTGCCATTCATTCTAATGGCACGGGCGCCCGCACACTGGAATTTCAACTCGTATGAAACCTGGGTTCCCCATGGCAGCTGCGATTTCCCAGTAGTGCAGGGATTCTTCCCTGTGGTGTCCCGGACACTGAGTCCATTCAAATGAATGGGCTCTCAGTGCCCGCACAAATCGTGTACCGCACGGGCACAAATATGTGAACCAGGGTTTGGATAACGCAGATTCCTGCTAGCATTTAGTAAAGGAATCAGGATGCGATTCCTTAGCGGCTATTATCATAGTTACATCCAAGTGATGGAGTCGCTTTGATTGGAACTCAGTTTGGCTCTCTCTTTTATTAATAACTGGATTATAATGATATGTTAAAAAGTGGTATTTTATATAAACCCTCTTAAAGACGCTAAAGGTTATAAAGAAAAATAAAAATCCCCCACTAATTCTCCTACCTGCTGCGACTTTGGAAATGATTCTGTGCCTGCGGAACTTACCTGCTTTGGCAAATAAAAAAATGATACTGACTATTCCGTTGTGGATTGCCTGAGAACAATATCGCAGATGCAAAATCATGAATTTAACTACATGCGCCCACAGCCACTGTACATATTACGGCGGCAGGGCGGCCCTCGCGCAGGCAAAACCACGTTTTAAAACGTTGTGTGTTTTTGTAAACAAATAGGGGGGCTGTGCGCGAAGCGTGCTAGCCACTGCCCTATCTGTGCTCCCAGCGGATATCACCGCCGCAGATGTCAGTCGCGTTGGCTCGGGTCACAGCCCTACAGCAGCTCCCCTTAGCGGTCTATGTCCCGGTGATCGGCGGCAAACAGTGGACAGACAGCACCAGCTATGCAGTAGCTGTGCTGTCTGTGTCACTTCCTTTCCAGCGTCGAGGATGAGCTGATCGAGAAAGAACAGTTTCTCTTTCTCGATCACCCTTGTCCCGCCCAGTACCACCCCCCCCCCCGCCCCATAGGTAAAACACTCCCCCTCACTCCTATAATCCCTTCCCTGCAAAATAAAGTTAAACCCCTTCCACCCCATTGCCATTAGTACAGTGTCTAGTGGGTTTTTTTACTTATCACACTTGATCACTGTATATGGAGTGTTTTTGGGGATGTCAGTGACCCAAGTCAGTACCCCCGCAATGTCAGAATGTCCCCCGCAGTCCGCCCAGTCCCGCCATAAGTCGCTGATCGCCGCCATAATTCGCTGATCACCCGCCATAATTCGCTGATCGCCCACATTATTAGATTTAAAAAAAACCCTAAAAATCCCAGTATCTTTCGGCAATTTGTAAACGCTATAACTTTCACGTAAACCAATTAGAATTTTTACACGTATTGGGTTTTTTGTAGCAAAGACATGGCTCGCAGAATACATTTGGCAGAAATTTATGACTGAATTTTGATTTTTGCATTTTTTTTTACTGGACATGTTTTATAGCAAAAAGTCCAAAATATTGTTTTTTTTTCCTCAAATATGTTGGCAGCCTTTTTTTTTTATAGCGCAAAAAATAAAAACCGAACCAGGCGATCAAATACCACTGAAAAGAACAGCTCACAATATGTGGGGAAAAAAGAATGTAAATTTCATTTAATGGGTACCGGTATTGCATGACGCGCAATTATGTCTGAGTTAAACTTAGCGCAGCGCCTGTATATAGCAAGAAAATGGGTAAATTGCAGAACTATCTATACCTTAGTTTGTAGACGCTATAACTTCCACACAAAGCAATCATATACACTTATTGGGATTTTTTTTTACCAAAAACATGGAGCAGAAGATACATTTTGGCCTAAATTTAATAACCAAACTTTGAGTTTACTATATATTTTTTATAGCTGAAAGTAAAAAAATATTGTTTTTCTTCAACATTTTTAGGCCTTTTTTTGTTTTTAGCGGACTGTGAAAAATAAAAAGCGCACAGCGTGATCAAATACCACCAAAAGAAAGCTCTATTTGTGTGAAAAAAAGGACGTAAATTTCGTTTGGGTGTAACACATGGCATGACCGCGCAATTATCAGTTGAATTAGTGCAGCGCCGAGTAGCAAAAAGAGGCCTGGTCAGGAAGGGGGGTAAAATCCTCAGGAGGGCCAAGTGGTTAAAGCTGAACCCTGAGCATCAGCAAATATTGTGTAAATACATTCTTCCTGTGTATTCTGCCTTGAGCCTAGGTTCACGCTGATGCAATGTGGGAAATGTGCGTTTCCCGCACCGCATTAAAATCTCACAGCGTTCATGCATTTCTGCTGCAGGTGTCACTGCTAAATTAACGACACCCCGAAACAGCGATTTCTAAAAATCGGATCGCATGGGCATTCACAACCCATGCTATCGGATTTGGGTAGTGCGGCAATAAAAAAAGGGTTTTGATGCAGATGCGGTGCAATTTGAGCCATACAAAAATTGATTGGCTCAAATTGCACCGTACAGACATCGCATGTGATGTGCACAGGAAGGTGGTGTGATTCCTGTGTGAACCACATGAGGTGTGTTCCACACCGCACAAATGTGAACGCAGGCTGAAACGTACTTGAGGGGCTGGTTCACACCAGAATTCGGTGCAGAAGAGACGTGTCCATATGTGTTTCCCTCCACTGCATTCAAAAATGCGCTGCTCATGCGGTGATCCGCAAGCGGGCAACAATGTATTGTTTAAAGTGTTACTAAACCCAACAACAGTATACAATCAGTCTGTATATGCAGTAAAGCATGCTTGTTATACTCACTGTGGAACCTAAGGGGTTAATTCTCTGCATTGTGTAAAAACAATGTTTGATCCTGTCTTCTCTGATCCTCCCCTTCTTCCAGTGCCCCCCTCTTATCTCCTGATCAAGGTCATATCGTGTGGAGACATGCTCAGTTTGGTGTGTATTGCTTTTTTTTTTTTTTTCTTGGGAGAGTGCATGTGATCAGCACAGGGCCAATCAGCACTGTCTAGACCAGGGGTCTCTGCAACCTTTAATGACATAAGAGCCACTGGGACCCAGTTTCCGAGATGGGAAAATAAAAAAGACTGGGAGCCGGACAAAACCATTGCAACATGGGTTAAAACAAAATCCGACACTGCTATATTGCGAAAAAGCGCTCTGGTCATGAAGGGGGTTTAAGGGCCCATAAGCAAAGGGTTAACAGGGCCACAGTGTATCGTCATAATCACAATCATAGCCTTAGGTCAGTGGTGGGGCAACCTTTTTTTTCAACTGAGCCAAATCTCGCCAAAACAACCCGATTGAAATTTATTTTGAGAGAAACATTTTTAAAACTGAAAAATACACATCCCCCATATAGTAATTCATCCCCCATAGTAATTCTATCCCCCATTTTATAGTAATTCATCCCCCCCGTATAGTAATTCATCCCCCATATAGTAATTCATCTCCCTCATAGTAATTCATCCCCCGAGTAAGCAATTTTATCCCCCTATAGTAATTCATCCCCATATAGTAATTCATCCCCACCTTAGTAATTCATCCCCCATAGTAATTTCATCCCCCATATAGTAATTCATCCCCCATAGTAGTATTCATCCCCCCATTAGTAATTCATCCCCCATATAGTAATGAATCCCCCATATAGTAATTCATCCCACCATAGTAATTCATTCCCCCATATTGTAATTCATCCCCATAGTAATTCATCCCCCACAGATTAGTAATTTCATCCCCCATATAGTAATTCATCCCCCCATAGTATTATTCATCCCCCATATAGTAATTAATTCATCCCCCATAGTAATTCTATCCCCCCCTATAGTAAGATATACATTACCCCCCTCAGTAATTCATCCCACATATAGTAATTCATCCCCCATATAGTAATTCATCCCCCCTATAGTATTTCCATCCCCCCTATAGTATTTCATCCCCCTTTAGTAATTCATCCCCCATATAGTAATTCTATCTCCCATATAGTATAGTACATCCCACCATATAGTAATTCATCCCCCATATAGTAATTCATCTCCCATATAGTAATTCATCCCCCATATTAGTAATTCATCCCCCCATAGTATTTCATCCCCCTATAGTATTTCATCCCCCCTATAGTAATTCATCCCCCATTATAGTAATTCATCCCCCTTAGTAATTCATCCCCCATAGTATACATCCCCCATATAGTAATTCATCCCCCATATAGTAATTCATCCCCCTATAGTAATTCATTCCCTCCTATAGTAATTCGATCCCCCTGTGTCATTCACTTAACCTTTGCTTTACCCGCGCGTTCTACCTCTAGCTGTGTTCCCGCGCCGTTCTGGGTCTTCAGGGCGGACTGTGAGAGGAGAGGGGTTCGTCACGCTGCCCCGCCTACATCCTGACAGCCAATGTTTGGAGGAGGGGAGGGGGCGCGCGGGCGCCCACCCCCGGCACATAGAAGAGCTGCATTAAAAGAGCGCAGCTTGCCGACCCTATTGCCTGTCACCTGGTGGGCAGTGTGCTCCGGAGCGCAGGAAAGGTGTGAAAAAAGAGCCGCCATTTGCGGCCCCGGAGCTGCGGGTTGCCGACACCCGGTCTAGACAGTGAGAGAGTCCAGGGGTTCTGCAATCCTCTATAGCAGAATGAAAACTCCTCCTACAAGCTGTAACCAGTGCTCTGCTGAAGTCACAAGATGCTATATAACTGCTGATGAGAAAAGGCATTTAAACTGTTTATATTTACTACAATAATTGCATTTCCTTGCTGTGTGTACTTGTGGGAGACCCGGATTATAGTGAATGCAGGGTCCGGGGAGAGGAGATATAGTGAATGCAGGGTCCGGGGAGACCGGATATAGTGAATGCAGGGTCCGAGGAGAGCGGATATAGTGATATGCAGGGTCCGGGGAGTCCAGTTATAGTGAATGCAGGGTCCGGGGAGACCGGATATCGTGAATGCAGGGTCCCGGGGATGAGCGGATTATAGTGAATGCAGGGTCCGGGGAGAGCCGAATATAGTGAAATGCAGGGTCCGGGTGAGAGCGGATATATGAAATGCAGGGTCCGGGGGAGAGCAGATATAGTGAATTGCAGGGTCCGGGTGAGAGCGAATATAGTGAATGCAGGGTCCGGGGAGGGACCACAAGATATAGTGAATGCAGGATCCGGGGAGACCGGATATAGTGAATGGCCGGGTCCGGGGAGGACCAGATATAGTGAATGCAGGGTCCGGGGCGCGACTGGATATAGTGAATGCAGGGTCCAGGGAGACTGGATATAGTGAATGCAGGGTCCGGGGAGAGACCAGGTATAGTGAATGCAGGGTCCGGGGACAGCGGATATAGTGAATGCAGGGTTCGGGGAGAGCGAATATAGTGAATGCAGGTCCGGGTAGACCAGATATAGTGAATGCAGGGCCCGGGGAGACCGGATAGTGAATGCAGGGTCCAGGAAGACCAGGGACATAGTGAATGCAGGGTCCGGGGGAGACCGGATATAGTGAATGCAGGGTCTGGGGAGACCAGATATAGTGAATGCAGGGTCCGGGTAGACCATGATATAGTGAATGCAGGGTTACGGAGGAGACCAGATACAGTGAATGCAGGGTCCAGGGAGACCAGATATAGTGAATGCAGGGTCCGGGGAGACCAGATACAGTGAATGCAGGGTCCGGGGAGACCAGATATAGTGAATGCAGGGTCCGGGGAGACCGGATATAGTGATGCAGGGTCCGGGGGAAACCAGTATAGTGAATGCAGGGTCTGGGAGAGAACCGATTACATATAGTGAATGCAGGGTCTGGGGAGACCCAGATATAGTGAATGCAGGGGTCCTGGGGAGACCAGATATAGTGAATGCAGGGTCCGGGGAGACCAATGACCTATAGTGAATACAGGGTCCGGGGAGACCAGATATAGTGAGAGCAGGGTCCGGTGAGGAGACCGGATATAAAGTGAATGCAGGGTCCGGGAGAGACCAGATATAGTGAATGCAGGGTCCGGGGAGACCAGATATATGAATGCAGGGTCCGGGGAGACCAGATATTTAGTGAATGCAGGGTCGGGGGAGACCGGATAAGTGAATGCAGGGTCCGGGTGAGACCAGATATAAGTGATTGCAGGGTCCGGGGGTGATACCAGATATAGTGAATGCAGGGTCCGGGGAGACCCAGAATATAGTGAATGCAGGGTCCCCGGGGAGACCGGATATAGTGAATGCAGGGTCCGGGGAGGACGGATTATAGTGAATTGCAGGGTTCGGGAAAACCGGATATAGTGAATGCAGGGCCCGGGGAGGAGACCGAATCTAGTGAATGCAGGGTCCGGGGAGACCTGATATAGTGAATGCAGGGTCCAGGAAGACGATATAGTGAATGTAGGGTCCAGGTAGACCGGATATAGTGAATGCAGGGTCCTGGGAGACCAGATATAGTGAATGCAGGGTCCCGGGGAGACCAGATATAGTGAAATGCAGGGTCCGGGGAGACCAGTTATAGTGAATGCAGGGTCCGGGGAGACCGGATATACTGGATGCAGGGGTCCGGGGAGACCGGATATAATGAATGCAGGGTCCAGGGAGACCAGATATAATGAATGCTCAGGGTCTGGGGAGACCAGGATTATAGTGGATGCAGGGTCCGGGGGAGACCAGATATAGTTGAATGCAGGGTCCGGGGGACATGAGACCAGATATAGTGAATGCAGGGTCCCTGGGAGACCAGATATAGTGAATGCAGGGTCCAGGGAGACCAGATATAGTGAATGCAGCAAGGTTCCTGGGTTTTAGTGACACTTTAATGGCACCTGAAACGCACATAGTAAACGCAGGAACCTAATCACATAGTACCACAGTTGCATGTGGTTTAGTGCAGTGCATTTTTTTAACCCCTTGCCTCCTGAGAATTTCCCCTCCCCCCATTCCTGACCAGGCCATTTTTGCGTTACGGCGCTGTGTTACTTTAGCTGACAAATTGCGCGGTCATGCGTCGCTGCTGCTGAAATTGATGTCTTTTTTTTCCCACAAATAAAACTTTTGGTGGTATTTGATCGCCTCTGCAGGTTCTTTTTTTTTTTTTGCACTAAAAACAAAAAAAGACTGACAGTTTTAGAAAAAAAAATACCAAAACAATTTTTTTTTAGTTTTTGCTATAAAACATATCCAGTAAAGAAATCAAGTGGTTAACCATAGATGGCTTTTCAGAGGCTTGGCAGTCTTGCCGCATGTCTTAAGCCAACCATAGATGGTTCGAATCCCGACCAGGTTCAGGCTGATTGTACCCAATTCAATTGTTGTATGACCAGCCTATTGGAGTCTTCGTTTTTTATTGCCGCTAGCAATAATCAACTGTGTTCTCCAAGCACGCCCCCCACACACCACGCCTCCTTGCCAGGAGAACACAATAACTCCGCGGGATGGATTCCCCCATCAACACATCTATGGCCGGCTTTAGAAAATCAAGAATCCAAGAATGAATCTGAAAGTTTGATGGGGGGTAGGTTGTTCCTATGGATGAAATCTCAACAAAAACTATAAGAAGTACTTTTTAGGTTACCACCTATAACTGAAAGATAAAAGTCTGTAGAGTCTTTCATTCTCCATTTTTACCATACGCTTTAGTTGGGCGTCCACCCGATCGTTTCCTGCAGTCCCATGTACTAAGATCACCCCAGTAATCAAGGTCAGTGCTGTGCTGTGGATTTCTCATGATTGGAGCTCAATTTGGGAACAATGGCAATCTTGAAGGCCATCCAACATTCTATACAAGGCGGCAAGACTACGGAGGATTGATGGCAGGTGTGGGGGATGGCGGGTGTGGGGGCCTTGATGGTGGAGCTCCCAAAGAGAGAGTACTATGCCGCATTATACCGTGCAGGAGATAGGAACCTTTCTAGAACAGAGGTCTCCAAATTTTCTAAACAAAGGGCCAATTTAACTGTTCTTTAAACATTAGAGGGGCCAAAAACTATGGCAATTGAAACTGTCCTGATGTCAGTAAGAAATTCGCCTTCATTGGTATCAGTGGGAGAATAGTGCCCCATCATTGGTATCAGTGGGAGGAATAGTGCCCCATCATTGGTATCAGATGAGAGGAATAGTGCCCCATCATTGGGTATCAGTGAGAGGAATAGTGCCCCCATCATTGGTATCATAGTGGGAGGAATAGTGCCCCATCATTGGTATCAGTGGGAGGAAATAGTGCTCCATCATTGGTATCAGTGGGATGAATAGTGCCCCATCATTGGTATCAGCGGGAGGAATAGTGGCCCATGATTGGTATCAGTGGGAGGAATAGTGCCCATCATTGGTTTCAGTGGAAGGAATAGTGGCCCATGATTGGTATCAGTGGGGAGGACATTAGTGCTCCATCATTGGTAGCAGTTTGGTTGAATAGTGCCCCCATCATTGGTGTATCAGTGGGTAGGAATAGTGCCCCATTCATTGGTATCAGTGGGAGGAATAGTGCCCCATCATTGGTATCAGTGGGAGGAATAGTGCCCATCATTGGTATCAGTGGGAGGAATAGTGTCCCATCATTTGTATCAGTGGGAGGAATAGTGCCCCATCATTGGTATCAGTGGGAGGAATAGTGCCCCATCATTGGTATCAGTGGGAGGAATAGTGCCCCATCAATTGGTATCAGTGGGAGGAATAGTGTCCCCATCATTGGTATCAGTGGAAGGAATAGTGCCCATCATTGGTATCAGTGGGAGGGAATAGTGCCCCTTCATTGGTATCAGTGGGAGGAATAGTGCCCTATCATTGGTATCAGTGGAAGGAATAGTGGTCCCATCATTGGTATATCAGTAGGAGGAAATAGTGCCCCATCATTGGTATCAGTGGGAGAATAGTGCCCCATCATTGGTATCAGTGGGAGGAATAGTGCCCCATCATTGGTATCAGTGGGAGGAATAGTGCCCCATCATTGGTATCAGTGGGAGGAATAGTGCCCCATCATTGGTATCAGTGGGGAGGAATATAGTGCCCCCTCATTGGTATCAGTGGGAGGAATAGTGTCCCATCATTGGTATCAGTGGGAGGAATAGTGCCCCATCATTTGTAATCAGTAGGAGGAATAGTGCCCCATCATTTGGTATCAGTGGGAGGAATAGTAGCCCCCTCATTGGTATCAGTGGGAGGAATAGTGCCTCATCATTGGTATCAGTGGGAAGGAAGGGTGCCCCATTGTCCAGTATCAGTGGTAGGAACTATGCCACGTGCTGTTGCTAGCAGTGGGATGAATATGCCCTGAGGCCAGACAAAAGCAAGTAAAGGGCTGCAGTTTGGAGACTACTGTTCTATAACATGGTATATTTAATGGCCTGAAGGGTAAGTGTAAGAGACGCACAGGTTTGTGAATTCAGCCTAAATGTCTTTATGGATAAATTCCCGATATCTCAAAATATACAGTATCATTTCTGAAAAATGATTACAAATTTTCCCATAAATGTCTCCATTGAATGCCACCCCAATGACCCTGCCTGAGATTATGTCAGCAGTCTGCTGCAGGCAAGAGGAAGCATTTCCTCAGTCTCCCCCGTGATCAGACTTTACATTGAAACTTTGTAGAATGATAGACTGCAGCAGGGGCTGGTCTGTGTCAGATATTTGTAAACACAGTCAAAAATTGCACAGGCACCAGAATTTTCTCACTATGTCATCTCTGTCCCAGTTATCTCAGTCCTGGAATTAGATGGCGCCATCCTTCTGGAGAGAAAAGCAGATGGAAGACATTGTCAGAGGGGAGTACTGTGGTCACAGTTGTGTTTTTCTACACTCATTCTAGACGTGTTTTTGACGCCTTTTGCATTTTGTTCAACTCTTTTTTTTTGTTTGTTGTTGAAGTGGAATTTGTTGTTGCTCTGGCCAGAATAAAAAATGCAAAAACACAAAATGCGGCAAAAATAAACACACTACCGTGCATTTCAGCAGCTTCTCCCTTTGAACTTTATTGTAGCAAAAAATGCTGCTTTTTGCTTTTTAAAAAAGTCCCCGACCCTTTCCAAAAACGTAGCTAAGCAGCTCAAAAAAGCACAGGTGTGAACTTGTTCCATAGGAAACCATGTTAAATGGACTGTACTGCGTTTCTGCAAAAAGCACTAAAAAACGCATTGGTGTGAACGGAGCCTCACACTTACACTTTGCTTACCATGTTATCTACCAGTAGTGATCAGCCAGGACATACCTGGGTTGGGTTCAGGTAGGGTTCCCCCGGACATTTACTAGGGTTTGGGTGGGGAATCTGAGCCCTGGTGAACGTATAGCACAGCATAAAAATATTCTTTTAAATTCTGTTTGGCAGGGAGCGGTGATTCTATTCATGCTTAATGTGAATCATTAAAATGATAAAAACTCCATCAAATACCTAGGGGCGTGCTCTGACCCTGCCTGTGAAGTGCAGCATCTGAATGATGTATACAACCTACTAGAACAACACTCACAAAGAAATGGCCGACAAAATGACAGCTTCCAGCTGGGAAAATGACAGATTCCAAACGATTGTTCAAAATAATCACTCCCAAATGATGAAGTAACAACTCCCAGATGACAAAATGACAGCTCCCAGCCAGCACAAGGACAGCTAACCAGATGTTCAAAATGACAGCTACCAAATGGCAAAATGACAGCTACCAGATGTTCAAAATGACAGCTACCAGATGGCAAAAAATGTCAGCTACCAGATGTTCAAAATGACA